GACCCGCGATTCGCTAGAAACTGACATTTGCTATCGATATGATGCATGTACGAATTTTCATCACGAACGCGAACAATCAATCCGGCATCTCAACTGGCTCGACTTAATACTAATAAAACACACCCCCAAATGCAATTCGGCGAAATTTTGACAATTGCGATCGTTTGATGCACGTACAATTTCCGCCCGAACGCTAATTTCCGAGCTACGAATTAAGATATTAATAAATTCGTCCTACACCAGCGACAAAACGCGACTTCACATGTTGACTACGCGATTACTGAGCCACGAGTGACGACGAGACGTTTGCACACGGCACGGCTCCCAACGGTCTTCAGTTCGTATCCTTCCGCGTTACGTCATGTTGGACTGACTTGTCCATTGCCTGTCGCGGATTTTAAATCTTTTGATTTGAAAATCGGCACAGTTACAAACCTCGTCTATTAAACCTGTCTATTCTTATAGACAGTTTGATGTTTCTTGTTATAATCCACCACTGCCGTAAGCATTTCTAATATAGAAAAGGCTCAACCATAGGTCTGCAGACTGTAGATATTTATTTCATGCATGTAACCATTTAATGCATCATATTTAGAGTGACTTTTACTAGATACATCACATACCCAACTTCTTACAATGGGGTCGAGGCTATCTGATAGAGCATGGGATCTCTTTTTTTAGGACAGGGTTTAAAACCTGTAAATCGCCAATTAATTGCTTTTACTTTTTGTACTAATTCAGTAACCCAGTGGTTCCGAGCCCCTCAATTAAAAGTGTACATCTCCGTGGTTAAAGTGCTGTGGTATGTAGTTATTGATACACTTGCCTTGTAGAAAGTTGCAACAATACAAGTTTAAGCACTGATAAGAGACATTTCCTTTGTTTGTGGTTTAAAACCAGATTATACTTTGACTTAAACAACTTAAACAATCGATAGGGACCGATAGCTAAAGGATACACATATGATTAGATCGACATGGTACGTATTAATGTGCTACATAAGCTACTAATATTTATGTACAGGTCAGATATTTTATCTTGAAGTTCGGTTACCTTTTCATCTACGATGTCTTCAGGTAGGGGAGTTGTGGAGAACAACTTATTAACATTTTTTTCAAATTCTGCATGTTTTTGAGAAGCTGCAGTTGAAAGTAACTTTATCCTAATTATTTGTTGATCATTTAAAGATTCAAGGGCTTGAACAGTACTTAATGTTGTAACTTGCTTGTCAATACTACTAAGTCATTGTTCAATAAGTTGACTTTGCTTGACAAAAGATAAAAATCTCATTTTGGAATAGAATAGTCAAACACACAATAAAACTCAAAAAGTCTGTATAAACTCCATCTTGAAATTTATAAATTAAAGTTATTTCTTCACTAGAAATGTCAATAACTTATTTTGCAAAGTATTTGCAATATAAAATCACATTAAAATGTGGCAGTCCTTTCTTCAGTATGTCAATGTTAATAAGCACTAAATTATTTAAATTTTAATTTACTATCCAGAAGTTCCAGAATTATCATTTAATACAATAATGATCAATCAACAATATTACTATACAAAGCAAATTGGACATGAAACTAGACTTTCACTTTTGTGCATGTTTGGAAATGAAATATGAAAAATCATCAAACTTAAATAGGTTTGATTTTGAAAATATATACTGCGAGTCCCATGCCTCACTTTAAATTAAAGTTTCCTAAAAGTTTCACACTCGCTTAGCCTAGTCAAGAGGTGTTAGGTTAATGAGACATAAGACTGCTTAAGGGTGTTACTCAACGTGTAATGAACAAAAATTTAAATTTAGAAAAACAACTAAATTTACAAAGTGTTACAACAGCAAAAGAAAACTTAGAGGCAAAGATCAACAATAATAAGATAAATTAATTTACAACGTTAAATTTACAAGAAAAGGAAATCAATTGAAAATATAAAAGAATTAGTTACAGACAAATTATATGACTTGTATGTTTGACAAAACTTTAGTTATACATTTTATTCTTTTTACATACTGTTTATTGTCCCAGAAGCACACGCACCGATACACGTACTCCGAAACTCCTGATCTTCTTGGTCCGGTGGCCCGTGGTGATCTCCTCGATTGTCCTCTCCAGGTTCTCCAGCTCCGAGACTCCTGACCCCTCCTTCTTCTTCATTAGCCCTTCTCATTGGCTGATTACCGATAGGGTGTGTGGCTTATAGGTCAACGATGTTTCTTGGAAGTCAGCCCTACCGGTCATCGCCTAGCTCACATCAGCTGGGAAAGGAATTTGTAAATCGATGCTCATGCTACTGTTCAACACTGTTCACACCAACTGGTCGACTAAGTGTAATGTGAACAGAGTGTCTGCATAGATGAGCACCGTGGGTACGGGGTTAATCCCCTTTCTTACAATACCTAGTACAAAATTGTCCTATGATAAAAAAATCAATAAAACAACACTGACTTATTTAATAAATGTTCACAAATTATGAAAATGTGTTTGTGATGAAATAAAAAATGTCTTTCACTATGAAATTAAAATCTTAACAATTCTTTAAATATTTCCAATTCACTGAGTTTATCCTTCCGGCTTGAAGTACCAAAAATGTGGGGAATTTATGTTAATTTGTTGTAAGCAATGTGGACTGTATTAAAGTTATTTTAAAGTTGGAGACACTAACCTTTTCTTCTTAAAACTGATGTGTAGACTGGGGGCCCCCTTTGATGAATCCTGAAATGCTATAATGTTGATAAGTTCACTTTTTCTCACTATATGATGTTAAAAAACACTTCAATTGTCTTTATAATAAGTTATAAGCCAGCAGTAATTATTTATGTTGAAATGAAATGAAAATCCTTTATTTCAACAGGCAAAGTCATTTCATTTCATTTCATTTCATTCATTTCATTTCATTTCATTCATTTCATTTCATTTCATTTCATTTTCATTCATTAATTATTTATGTTGGTATAGAGGTTTATGGTATTTGAAAGTAGGAGAAAAGGCATGTTAAGTCCTCATAGCAACAGGACTTGCCCAAGAGTGCCATTAGCCCGCCCACTACACTACAGAAGGAAGGAGTTGGTCGTGTGATACATATCAGTGACCGATCAGAGAGCTAGTCTTGAAAGAATTGGGATTTGAAGATACTGATGCACTCTATGAGGAAAACATTTAACTATTTGAAATGGTATTTAAATGGAGATTGTGGTGAAATCAGTTACATATTTTATACATACTAGTGGCCTATAGGGGCCATAGCCCCTAATTTAGACTACAATAAAAAAACCATATATAAAATGACAAATATTCAAAATAGGCCTATATTTTTAAAATTACCAATTTTATGTTACTTAAAATTAACAGTGTTTTTTGTTTTATATCTTGGTTTTCCTTCCGTTGGAGTCGTATATTAGTTGCTTCTGATGTGTCAATGAAATACAATTGTAAAATAATGATTAAACCAATAACATAACATAGGCTATTAAGAAATGGAAACGTGCACACGGTTTGACCTGAGCCCAGAGAACGACGAATCAGAGCTGAAATCATACAGCCAAACATTGCACATCTTTTCTAGTTTAAAATTGAAGATTTGTTTTGTAATCTTACGAATTCTGATATAGTTTCCATTTGGAGAACCACATGTAAAGGTCAAAATTATTATTAATTATTATGAAGGCAACTCCCCTGTTCGCCGTAGTACGTCAGAAATATATCTATGAATTTGTCCCTGAATTTTAAGACAGTAAAGGCCCATTTCCCGAAATCTCATTTTGTGTAGCGGAAAGCGACGCAAAAGCCATTGCACTGTTGTATTGTCTTAATACTAATTCGCTGAAAAATGTAACCAAACCCAACGAACCTAACGCTTGGGAATCATTATTCATAAATAAAATAGACAGTCTAGTAAATAAGATAGTGGTCCAATTCAAAAGTAACATTACTAAATTCAAAATTACTAATTTCAAAATTAACAAAACTGTAAGAGTTCAACTAACCCATTAGACTAAACTTACTTCAGATTTTATTTTTGTATAATTATTTATTATTTGTATTATTAATTATTTTTATAATTTTACCTTAATGTACTTAACATAATATTCCTTTTAACTTACCCTACCCATATGTTTGTTATTTTTAACATTTATTATTGTAAACATAACCTTCAGTTTTTGTGATGTGTCTGATGCATCGATCTCTATTACTACAACGTCTGATGATGACAGCATAGCTGGCGAAAGCACTCATAAGTTTTTTTAAAATATCGGTGGAGGTTCTATTTTAAATTATTTTCAAACCAATAATAGTTGTTATTGTATTTGCTGAATGTTCTAAAAAGGAACAGATTGTAAATAAAATTGTGATGAAAACAAAATGTTAACAGTTTTTCTTGAAGATATAACGTGTGTTTAAAACAAGTTAATACTACTACTAACTGTAACTTGAATCAAGTTGTCCAAGTGATATTCTTTTAAAAACTCAACTTAGTGTTAGTGTAATGTGATTTTAATAAGAATAAGTATTGTGAATTCACATTCATAAGCAACATCACCACTAAGAAAGTTGATGGGCCCAAGTTGGTGGGACCCAAATATTTTTTTAGGAAAAGTTTATGCTTGAACTTTTTTTAGTTTAGTGTGACAACGGTTTTTAATTTCAATTTTTCACTTTTAATGGAAGAATTCAAAACTTGTATATATAAATTTTTAACCTCCAAATTTCATAGCAAGACAAAAGAGATTTATTTCATTGTAATCGAGTTTATTTTTCAAATGTAACTCTTCAACATAAAAAATGCAGCAGAGGTTTGTCAATTATTGATCTTGTTTGCTTTATAGGTTAGTTACTTGTTGCTGCCCCGTTCTTTGTTTTTAACTTCTTTACTCATCCTTCTATGTTTCTATGTCCTGTCTGTGTTTGGACCTGAGTTTCTTTAATTTCTTGTTGTTGCCCCTTTCTTTTCTTCTTTGCGCGTGTTCTGCGCCTTTTGGGCATGGCCCCTCCTTGTTGCTGCCCCGTTCTTTGTTTTTAACTTCTTTACTCATCCTTCTATGTTTCTATGTCCTGTCTGTGTTTGGACCTGAGTTTCTTTAAGTTTCTTGTTGTTGCCCCTTTCTTTTCTTCTTTGCGCGTGTTCTGCGCCTTTTGGGCATGGCCCCTTTCTTTTCTTCTTTGCGCGTGTTCTGCGCCTTTTGGGCATGGCCCTTTCTTTTCTTCTGTTTTCTTCTGTTTAGCCTGTTTGTTCCTCCTTACTGTCCGGCTGCACTGTTACCCTAGATGGTCGTGGGTGATTGTGTCTCTGTAGCTTGTTTGTCTTAATGGTCCCCGCTGGGGCCCTGCACCTGCACCTCTGGCAAAACGTCCTGTAAACATATTTGCACATACATTAGTAAAATGTATTTCTGGCTTGAACTCATAGTGAATACTTCTCAGTTCCAACTAAATAATAACCAGCTAGACTCGTTCATGGAAGGAATCTTTGTTTGAGATTATCCTCTAATATGAGACGTACAATCTAAGGATTAAATGTCAAGTAAATATATCAATTTACTTGAAATTTAATCTTTAGATTGTAAGAAAATAATCATTGGAAAACTCAAAAATATAAGTCTAAAAGTTTGTATTTTGATTATTAGTAACCACTTTTATTTTCACTCATAATGCTATGATACATCATATTATGCCAAATTTCCGTATTTAAATCTGAAATATTTCTGTTGGCAGACCCCATGCCATTGCTTTTAATTACATAGCATTAATAATATCCAATCTATTACTGTTTCATCGAACAGTGTTTTTAGTTTTTATGATACTCTTTACATGATACTTCCATTCTTAAACTCAATCTTTTGCGAAAGCTTTCCTAAGAAAATAAATAATCTCAATCAATATAAATACTCACGTCCAGCTCCTCGTTCGCAGAGTAGAAGATTTGGCTGTCGCTGGACGAGGAGCTGACGGAGGGGCTTGGTGTTGGTGGTGGGGTTGGTGCAGGTGCAGGCGGGCGCTCTCTGGTCATCCAGAAGTACCCCAGCGAGGCAGTGCAGCCGGCAGCGAGCAAACAGAGGATCGGGTGGTCCCTGAACATGTATCTATTTTAATAAATACAACCTTTTTTATCGATTCAACTACTAGATTTAACTGAGGGTGCATGTAAGTAGTGCATAGTTCATCCAGTAACATATCACTGGTAACAAATAAAAAGATCGCCACATAAGATTCTCCAAATACCATGTGTTCTATTTCCAGTAATGAGACTTTAATTATGAGTATAAACTTATGAGTGCAAAATTGACCCTATAAAACATTAAAAAAATATCAAGTGCAAGAAACAACAAGACTTTTAGTTTGTTAATTATAATTACATACACTATTAATACACCATTAAAATACACTATTATACTATTATTAATTATAATACATGAAAACATAATTACTCATCCAATCATTCGTAAATGCCATTAGAATGAGTTTAGTTGAGGAGATTGAAACTGCATTATGTTTAGTTAACAGTTTGTTATGAGTCATTTTTACTCAATACAACTAAAACACCAAACATTATTATCCTAACATCTTACAATACTACAAACATCCTACACACACGTTTTTTAATATTATAAGACAATATGGTACACCAAAATATAAAACTATCTTTCTTCTCTTTGTGGACTCAAGGAGAGGAAATTTCCAAATGAAGAAATCGTGTAATTATCTTTAATGAAACAGCATAATTAAAATGTACATTATAATATTGATAAAATCATTACTCACCGAACAAAGTTAAGGACCATCATGAACGTAGAAAATTAGAAAATAGTATATAAGCAGCAGATAAAACTTGTAAAAATAGAGGCTATAAAAATATGCTAGTAGTTCCAAAGGTTGTAGAAAATACTCTGACCTGATGGTTACCATGGATTTGATAAAGTTGTAAGTAATAAACTTTGTTACCTATATTGGACCTTTGGTTGAACTCAATTTGGGAATACATAGATATTTTAGCTATTCACATACTGTAGGCTGCTACACATAAATTCGTGTTGGATACAAAATCCTGAGATAAGTCCATCTTAACAGATAAATTCAAACATTTGCAGGTGCATTTAAAAAGAGATGCACCAATCTTTCATACCCTGGGATATTTGTTTAGAGCTTGTTGTAAGCTGGCCACCATAGAAATCCTTCATATGAGAAACAAAAACAAATTGGAAAGTTGGTGCTAACAAGACTATTGTCTGACAACACTAAACAAACGGTCAGGATAAACCAGTATTTGTGTGTTTCGGAATTGGTACTAACTTGCCCTAATGGAAGTAGTCGGATTGTATCGGTACATTTCCAAACACTCTTCTGGATTCTTTTTGAAAATTAATTTCTTCTATAAAATGTTGTACACCTTTAGCATTTTATTTATCTTTCAGTACGGTGATAAATTGATTTTAATCTTACTTTTCGTCTGCAGCGACAGCTGTGATTTTTATTTGTATTTTTGTTTATTTTGAAATGAATGAAATGAATGTAAATCGTAAACTCAAAAGAAAGGTGATACTAAATCTTGGAAAAGAAAGAATTACTAACCAACAAACAATATTGAACTCTAATTACTGTGGACGGACCTAGATAACAGTGAGGTAGGGATCTCATACCAGAAACGTTCTGCGGATGGTGTGACTTTCAAAGGTAGTCGGGGGATAGAGGAAATAGACAAAGTGCCATAAATCATCACATCAAACAGTTACAGCTACAACTGCTCCCAGGGCCAGAGAGTGCAAGCCACTGATATAAGAACTCTGACTATGGCCAACTACTTGTGTTCTGCTCACTCACAAAACATTCTTACCACGGAACCAACACAACCCTGCACCTTAATCTCAACGAAATATGAACATCCAAAGTGAATCTGTCAACACAAGGTCCACTTCTTCTCAGTGACGACCTAGAGATGACAGACGAAGCCACTCACAACGAGGTGGAGCACCGGAGAAGAGAACAAATCAATCATTGGATCATTAGGCTAATCAATTCATCCCAGAGTGTTCACAAGACTTGGGTAAAGGCAGCTTTGAAACACAAAGTAAAGATAGGTAGATTGAATCTCCTTTCTGAATATTACACAGTAATTCAAAACCAAACGCAAGCAAGGGTCATTGAACAAGTGATAGGCTAGTGTGTATTTAGAGCAACACAAAAACTTATCTGGGATTTTTATTTTTTACATAGATTTTGAGTTGTTAACTAGAAAATGAAAAAAGGTAATGCACAAACTTAACTCAAACCTCAAACCTCATTTAACTTATTAACTTATTTATTAACTCATTTAACTTATTAAAGTGAAGCAGACCAGTCATATATGTCTACAACTTAACAAAGACCTATTCACTACAAGTGTATGCAAACATGCCGTACCTACAGATATTCAACCCAGATAGCAAACCTTAGCCATACTAAATCTTTTGACCTTAAAACACTTAGCAAAACATTAAAAAACACTCCCATTTTCAATGCAAATATGAATAAATGGAAGTCATGAGCAGGTAACAAACAATTCAGTTATTCCTCCATATCAAGCAGTCAAACTTATACCATTCTTATACTGTCAATAAAATATTAAGACTTGTATTTACTTACCGGACGAAGTCCAAAATCATCGTGAAGGATGAAATCTAGAAAGTGTAGACGTTAGAAAAATTTAAAAGTTTGGACAAAATGCAATACGAAGTGACTTTAAGGACCACAGAAATAGCACTGAAAATGTCGTTGCTATGGATTTGATAAAATGTACTTTTATTGTTAAAATCTTATAGAATGGCATGACGACTACCTTTGCTCATTATAGTTAATATAAAAATCTATTACCCTAATGCATTAAAATGTGTACTACAGTTAGATCGGTATTTAATTTAAATAACATTTTCTTTGTTTTTATTTTCTTTACAAATGCAGGTGCTATTTACCAATCAGAAATAATTAATTTAGTATATTTAGTTAATTCTTTTTAAGTAATGAAAATACTGTACCATTCCCAATACATCCTAACACGAATATTAAAGCTTTTTATATTGAACATCTACAAAATTATACCTCACATTAAAAAATAAGTATATGTTTAATTTATAGAAGCTATTAATAACAAAGGCAGATTAAAACAAATTTTTCTTAGTATTTTTTTATAAGTTTGATAAGGATATGTTAAAGACGTTTACATTTTGTACATTCAAAGGGATAACTCTGGTAAATCATTGAAGTTTGATGAAATTATGCTTAAAAGCGACCATAGTCTGATTATTTGGAAAACCTAATCAGCTATGGTATCTATATAGTTTACTAATGCAGTTTAAATTGCAGTTTTTTGTATTGCTTGGTAGTAAGCTTTCTGTTTGGTATGGCAGTCCCTCGATAATTCAGCTTAAACGGGCAGCTAATCGACAAGACCACCGAGAGACCATTGAAATAAGTAAATTAATTAGATTGACCAAATGTTAGACAGCTAAAGACACTGGTGTTAATTTAGTGTGAATGGGTGGCAGCAAATATCTTGAAGTTATTATCATAAAAATCTAGAAGGTTGGCAAGCCTTTTAATTCATGGATATGTTTGTGATATAAGGCCCAATTTTATATATTTTTTATTTGACCAAGGGTACAACTGAGGAGGATGCAGAGGATAGAGCAAGATGGAGAGGCTTTGTTGGTGCGGCCAAATATCTTCTTAGATATGCATGGCCCTGAGAGTAAGTAAGAGTAAGTAAGGGTACAAATAAGAAACGTGCATATTACTATAGACTAACTTCCAGCCACTCATGGTTGCAGTGCTAGAATGCTCTTGGGGTGCAGACAAGGTAAGACTATTTCTTAAACACAGTCCTATAACCATTATCACATTAAAGAGTTAAGTAGGAAAATAGGAAATTTGAGGAAATTAGGTTAAATAAAAAGAAAACCAACACATCCTTTAAACATAATTATATTAATTATTCATTATGTCATCGAATACATACAAAAGTACAACGTCAATCATACTAATTAAAACTATACATGCCAAAGTATAAACACAGTAAAGCCTTAACCAAAACGTTATCCGTGTACTAAAAGATGGTACGGATGCAATCTACATAACAAATCGTAACTACCAAGTTATGTTATCCTTTGATTTGTTCTTTTATACATATATATCAAACTGCGTATAAATTATATTCATTCTACATCTTTGTTTTCACATATTTACAATATATTCTTTTTACAAGTTCTTAAACTTATAAATACATTGAATGTACAAATTATAAATATATAAACTACATTTTATACACTATTAACACGTCAAAAGGTACTTTTTTGTGGAAAAATTCCTTTGTCTAATAAGGTGAAAGGAGGTATAATAGCTGTGATGATTTTGTTTCGACGGTGCAGCATCACAGTAAACAAACAGCATGTAAGTTTTAATGCTAATCAGCAGAAAAATTCTTGTATTGGAAGACTTTTTATCCTAGACAACTACTATAACATGGATCATTATACAATAAAATATCATACTATAGCGGAAAATATCTAAGTAACATTTTACAATATTGAATGTTTCACTACATTATCACAACTGTTTTAACACTGAACAGAAAGCTGAATCCATCAAACTTGCTGAGTATGCACGATTTACATTTAAGCTATATGAAAGCTACAACTTTAAAGTGAGGTAGCTCATTATGTGTAATGTGAATATATAATAAGGTATTGGTAACATAGAGTTACCTATGACTAACAACAATATTTGAAATAAACCATCAACGGAAAACCGACCCCACATTGTCCATTACACCAGCACCACATGTTTTGTCCACATATTTGTCGCACTGAACAAGACCAAACCCAGGCAACTGTGTAGGTAATTTATTTCAAACCATCCAGTGTTGGTAGTGTGTGTGTTTATACTATTTGAATTTGGTTTGCAAACCAGATGAACAGTTTTGTCACATGTCTCAAAATTATGACACCTTCCACTCCATAGCCATAATCATAATTTATGATTCGTTTATGTTAAAGTGGAAATCAGTTTAACTGAATTTCTGTAGTACCCCATGGCATTATAAACACAAATATTCCTCAGGACTACAGAAACTTGATGTAGATGTCGCTTCTACAACTTTCTTCAGCTGCAATCATCCAGAAACGATGTTGTTGTTCAAACGCAACTGAATTTAACACCTGAAAAAAACATACAAATTTAAAAACAAATATTGTCAACCTAAGAGATGGCCGGTGGGGCACACGGGAGGGACTAAGGCTAACATATCTTGTAGTGTCAGCGTTCGCCGCTAGAACTGCTAAGTTGAAATAATTTAAATTAATTTTTTTTTAGTTATAAAATTAACTTTTTAATTATAAAATATTGTTTTAAAATTATAAAATAAATTTTTAATTTTTAAAATTAAACTGTCATAACATAACCTAACCAACCAGACTTGCTAATAATATAAAAACTATATAAGATAAAAATGTAATTAATAATTACATATAATTTTTTATTAATTATCAAATTAATTTTAAAATGTAGTATAATAAAATTAAACTGTCATAACCTAACCTAACCAACCAAACTTGCTGATATGAAAAATTTGTTGACAAAAAGTTAGTGCTGCCAGCGGGATTCGAACCCGGGACCTCCTGAACACTAATCCGAAACGCTACCAACTATGCCACGAACGCCGCTGCAATCACACCGTTTCGTTACGGTAATCGTGTCGCCTCAAGAGAAGACATTAGCCACTAGAGATATGACGTCACTACACCTTTAGCCTTCGTCCCTTCCGTGTGCCCATTCCAAGAGATGGCAATATGTTTATGAAAAGTTTGTTAAATTAATTGCATAGCACTGTTACCAACCGTCACAGAACGTTTCTGTTGACTGGTAATTTCAGTTTTAGATCTAGGCCTAGTTTTTTTTATGTCGAGTACTATGTTTTCTTGTACCTATTTGTTGTTTTTTGTGTGTATACGATCATGTGTACACACGGTTTGAACTTTGATGAATATGATTATAAATTAACAGGAGTTGGAACCCTGGTCTTCCACTACAAGGAGTCAGAAAAGTGACTGAAAATTTGTTATATACTATGTACATTGCTATCTTGTCCATTTTAGTATCATCAATCTCAGTAATTAATATAAATATTTTTTTATATCAACCAAAAAATTTATTTTCAGGTTTGTTTTTGGAAGAACACTTGGCTTAGGAATAGAGCAAAAAGCTGGCTACCAAAAAAAAAAAAGATTTTTAGGCATACAAAAGTGTGTTGACAGCATGTAAAAAGTTCACAACACAATCTTATATATTTAAAAAAAATTGGTTTTTCTTTTCCGAGTTCGTTTGGCTCTTCTACCCTACCGATTTTCATGATTGGGGTTTTAAATTGAAGGTATTCACGCACAGATTTCACATCAACCATCGTCATATATTTATCTACAGTCCCACTCGGCTTATACGTAAATGAAATTTGCAAATTGCTCCCCATGTATTTCTTAAAGGAGTTAAATGAGGATTAAGGAGTTGTTTGATTAAGGAGTTAAAGGAGTTGGGAGTTAAATTTCGTTTTTCTTTTCCGAGTTTGTTTGGCTCTATTATCCGACCGATTTTCATGATTGAGGTCTTAAATTTATGGCATGCATGCGCAGACTTCACATCAAGCATCGGCGTATATTTATCTACTGTATTACTCAACCAAAAAAACATAAATTTGATTTATTTTCAAATTCTTACTTCAATTTAAGATGTATTTCACCAGTTATAATTATATAATCCTATATATTTTCGTCTAAGAACCTTCAGTGAAATGCCGGCTTTCATTTAACACATGGTTAGGTACTTACCGTCATCACTGGAGTAACAGTTGTGGCAGTGCAGTTTGTTGTTGCGCACACGCACATCAGTCCCCATCAGCCCGTCGCCTAGCTGGACGCAGCAAACGCAGCACTTGAAGCAGTCGATGTGGTAGAACAGACGCAGACTCTCGATTATCATTGCTGCTCCTCTGCCTGTGGATGAAAAACACAATCAAAATACAGCAACTTAGTAGATGGAGTAAGTTCCATATTTGAAATATTGGAAGGAAAAACTATTTGAGGTTATCTTTCCAATAAAAACATTGGTTAATTAGCGATGTAGGCTCTTTATCTACTTGAAAAATTTAGTTTGACTGAATGCTATAGTCCTCGCCACCCTAACTTGAGGCAGCCCAAGGCCGCACTAGATATACCGCGTGCGGCCTTGGGCTGCCTCAAGTTAGGATGGCGAGGACTATAGATAGTGAGAAATGTCCAAATGAATAGATAAACTACCCGAATGCTTAAGCAGATTTAAAGGACCTATTTTATTTCCATATCCCTTACAAAACACAGGTATTCATCACTTACCAAGCTCCTCGCCGCAGTGAGAACACTTCTTCTTGCCGCTCACACTCAGCATCTTCTCTTGACTCTCTGCCGCAGCCGTGTGGTTGTGGTTTTGGTTGCGAGAATCTACAACCGTGTGGTTGTGGTTACGAGACTCTACGACTGTGTGGTTGTGATTTCTTGACTCAACAACTGGAGCTGGCGGAGGCACTACTTCCATCCTGCAACAAAAATTGTGTAGTAAATCTTAAAATTTATTTCCATGTTCTATTATGTCATTTTACAGTGTACTCATCAACGAAGTTAACTCCATTACATTGCTTACCACCTACATTAGGATATTTTTTATACTTATTTGACTGAAAAGACTTTTAATGACTAAAAAAGCAGAATCTTCCCCATCTCAATTATGAAAAATAAAAAAATAAAACACCTTTCTACATGTTTTAGCACATCAATGGACATTACTGAAAAACCATATCATTCTAAAGCTTTGATTTGACTCTGCTGAAGTCAGCAACATTGTGGCCAAGACCAAAAACATATCATTTTGAATCTTCGCTGACTTTGTCTTTAGTTTTCTAACTGTTTTCACTCGGTAACTTTAGATTTTTTTCTGGTGATAATGTCACAACAATGTTGTGCAGCTTTTCTCTGACCTTTTTTTGCCAAGAGTGAGTTAAGTCACTTATTCAAGCCAAATGGTGGATTTACAATTCCTAAGTGCATGTGATAATTTTTTAGGGTGAATTTACAAGTTTGGAAAGCTTGCTCAGTTAAGTACCGCAATTGATGGTGAATTCAAAACGCAGAATATCTGCGGGTCACGAAGAGTATTTGTGAACATTTTGCCGATTTCACCAAAAATCATGAGTCGGCAACAGAGATTGCAACAGTGTTGGTCCAGAAGTTGCCAACAAAACTGTGTTGCTAACGGTTTAGAAACTTTTAAAAAGTGTTTCTACTCTGACAACTTTGTCAACGACAATGTTGGCGACAGATTTTGGTCAGAGTGGAAACGAGGATTGAAATGTACAGAGTTTATATGCCAAAAACATATGGATAACATCATAAACAGGAAACCTAGTATGATCTACTGGAGAGTATATCGTTAGTGTTACCTGCGCCTGTTGTTGTTAGGGTCGCCCAGTCTGTTCTGCACTCGCTGTGTTAGACTCTGTATGATGGCGTCAGGCAGAGGTTTGTCTTGTCTAGGCTGGGGTGGCTGCCAGTTGGTGTACTGAGGGCTGCCCCCCGCCCACTGCTGCTGAGGAGGTGGAGGAGGAACAGGGCGCCGGGGAGGCGGGGCCTGGCGCTGGTGCATCTCCGTTATCCTCCTCTGTTCAGCCTCCTGCATCATCACAAAAATTAGACTGTAAACTTTTGACTTTGTTGAAATATCTACCCTAAACTTTATAAATCAACTAAAATCAAAGGGAATATTATTTTTTGTTAGATATTGAAACAGCTTCCCTGAAGAGGTTACAAGAGTGTCTTTTCAACTTTTGTACCAGCGTTAAGTTGGGCCACCAGGATTTAGAAAAAAAATAATTAGCCTAGTTTGATAATAGATGCAGTGTAAAGCTTTGAGGGAACTGCTAATCCTTGTTCTATTATTATTATTTTACCTTTGAAAGCTATGAGAAATAGAGATTGGGTTATAAAAGTAATTTGTTGATTTCTTACACAATATCCAACATGAAAGCAAACTTTAAGCATTTTAACAGGAGTTTTATGTTTGAATTGACCAGAAAAGTCATTATATGAAGTCGGTACTTAGGATTTGATTAGTTTGGGTCAATGACAACCTCTTTTTGTATTAGAAGAACAGGATTTTTCCAAAGCAAAATTTAACGTACTGTGATGGATGAATGAAAGCCAATTTAGCAATATTGTTGGTAAGAACTAAATCACATTTTTTACACTCTATGCAGTATCTTACCTGTACTAGCCAGTGCTGGTAGTTGTTGGGCTTGGGGTTGCGGCGAGGTTGTTGCAGCCAGTTGTCACTGAGCCGAGACTTGGGAGCGGCCGCTAGAGCTTGTAATGTCTGTCGTGTCATCTGCTGTGGGCTGGACATCCTGAGACAATATTACAATTACAGTAACTTTGTTACGATTGAATATGCAAGTCAAGAGATATATTTTTGTATATATTTTTAGCTGGATAGCCTAGTGGTTGATTAACCACTCTGACTGTTCAATACTGAGAAAAGGTAGGATTTGAAACCAAAACATTAAAGTAAAACTACAACAGTAGAAAATATTGTAGTACACTATATTATTTATGACATGACATTCTTAAACAAACATACTTCCAAATAAAAACCATAGCTATTTTAAGCCTTATGAAAGTGTTTTTTTTTTATTTAAAATAAGGCTATACCTACCATTATTAAAACAAAGCCTTTAGAAAGTCTTTGGTCTTTTGGTCTTAGGTCTTTGGTGCAACTTTCGAGTATGGGCTTTAAGGGATCAACAATTTAATTAAAAAGATACAGATATAGAGTGAAAGATTGAAAACCTAAGTTTACAATGAACAATGGACACATTTGAAGGGAATAAAAAAACTTAATAGCAATTAAAAATAGAAAAATGTTCCTTCTGCCGGGTGGAAGGCCCGAGACAAGACACAAGACTACTACTAGGTCTGGTGGGATGCAAGGTAGTTGAGTTATTGAGCGCTGCAGACTAAACCTACTGGAGAGGCTATGTTACCAACTGGGGTACAAATTACTTTAGTAAGTAGCTAGGCCTTAAGTGTTTTTGCTAACCTCTTATCCTGAGTGCGAGGAATGATAAGAGGCTTGGCAGGAGGGATGGGTGGGGGAGGTCGTCTAGCTGCCAGATCAGGCATGGAGCGTCGGTTGTCACACGGTGTCTCAGGTATCTGCGGAGGTCTGTAGGTCGACACTACCTGATCCGGCGCACGCAGGTCTGTCATGGAGCGCCGGTAGTCCCCGGCGTAACCGGTCTCCAACACTCTGACGTCGGTGAGAGACCGGTTATGGTTGTGGTTGTACTGTTGCAACATCAGGTCCCGCTGACGAGCCAGTGACGCTTGCTCTGCCTCCAACCGCTTCCTCTCAGCAATTAGCATCTCCTGCGGTTAGAATAAATTTTAGAAAGGTTACAAGTGTTATGACTCATCTCCAAGTTATTTCGTAACAACTACAAAGTCCAAGTAGTTTCGTGAGTTAGTGCAGTTTGAGCTAGTTTGCAATGTTATTGTGGTAGGGTGAACAAGGATAATTTGTATATTAGAGTGCTATCACTTTGCTATAAGCCTAGAGTGATGATCTGATTGTTAATGTAGGGCGCTTACACTATATCAAACTAACTTATGTTTTTGAACTTAGAGGAAAATCAATATTGTGGACTGCATTAAAAAACTTCTCAACTTGAGTTTGAAGGGAATATTAAATAAGCTCTTTCAGGATAGAAAAAAAAGTATGTCATCATTTCCTTGCATTTTTTAAGGGGTGAGATTATAGTCAATATAAAGTATGTAAATTATAGTTTGTATTTAAGCTGCTATTTTAACTGGAAGAGTTTAAGGCCCACTCAGAATTTCTACTAAAATAAAAAAAAAAATATCTTTATGGAAATATTAGCTGGGTACAAATACAGTAAAATTTATAAATAGGGTACATTCTAATAAATAAGAAAATCTGGAACATGAACATGACTAATTAATATACATAAACTGTACACTTGCCTTTTGCAAGTTAGTCACTTTTGGTGAGTTAAATAAATTCTAAACACTTTAATTAATACAATCATTACAATTTGATAAGCTGATAGTTGCATGTTCGGAAAAAAAACTGTTAATTAAGGAAGAAAATAAAGGATATTCAAACCAAAAGCCCATTTTTATACAGAAAATTTATTATCGGTAATTTAACCTGAGAAATCTCAGTTCCTACAACTTACACAAGCGTTTTTGACCCAATACAAAATTTCTAGCAGATAAATTTCTAACATGAAAGCTCATTTTAAAAGCTGTAAGTTATATTTGGAGATGTAATCATGCATTCAACATCCAGAAAGCTGCCAAACACATACCATAAGTAACTGGTTTGTAAATTATACAAGCATTTGGTGCACTACAAGTTTCTAGTTTTAGAAAAAAAAGTTCAACATTCGCTATTAAATACAACCAGAACCTTCATTGTTAGCGGCAAACTCCAATTATTAAGGGCCAGGAATCAACAGCCCAGAATAACACCACAACCATAGATTAGTAAAACATCATGCAAAAATGCATTGTGTCCACACAGAGAAGTAAGGTATAGAGGAAACTTGCTTATGGGACGACCATAGTATGTTGTGCAGAAAATATACTTGTGCGAGCACGGGAGAGCCTGAGCGGTGAGCACTGTGTGGAAATTCCTATTCCCAGGGCACAGAGCCTTCTTCCAACGTGGGTGTTGAAGTACACGAGGGCAAGGAGGCGGTGTTAGACTTTGTCCTAGACACCAGCAACAAATGCAAGACACCCCTAAAGTGTACCATTAAATTGTTCCTCTGTACCTAAACTTCTCTGTGGTATCCACTAAAAAAGCCAACCCTATCATAGTAACCAAGACCAACCCACACCAAAAGTTCATTTTGAAAGTATTAGAGAAGAAAACCAAGTTTTATAATCCACAATCCCTTGGACCAAACCACACTACAGTTGGTACAAGCTAAGTTAGACCCTCACCGTATTTAAGTCCAACTCTTGTACATCCTGTGCTTGCTGAAATACATAACTTGATTAGTATCTGGTATTTACAACTCGTTATCAATATGTACAAATTGATTCACATTTATAAACAAATCTTCTGTTAAGGCACGTGTTTTGTTAATGATTAAATTTATTATGTAATAGAGGCCTAACTAATCTAATTAAAATAAAAAAGCCTTTAAAGGTTATGAAACATATTTGACATCACATACTGTACAGAAATGTCAATGATAATTAGGTCCTAAAATTAAAAGGAGAATAGCAATGTAGGCAATGGCCACTTACAAAATATGAACTATCCAAATTCATATTTTTTTCTAGTGTTCTTTCCAAACTCATGTATTCTATTTAACATTTACGTTAGCTGGAAAAAAACCATACAACCATGTTACTATTAGAATTTGTTATTGTATCATATTGCCTACCTCCTGTTTGCACAGCTGTAGTTCACGCGCCTGTATGCGACTCTGGTGTTGTTGTCTGGCTGCCTCCTCCGCTAGGCGTCTTCGACTCTCTTCCTCTCTCTCCCACTCCAGGCGCGACTTCTCCGCCTCCAGCTCCCTCAGGCGCACCGCCAGCTTCTCACCTGCTTGTAAACAAGGTGACAAAACATTTAGCGATTATATAGGTTACTCATTTTGTTTTTTACCACAAAGAAGTAAGGTATAGACAAAAATTCCCTATGGGTGCGTTTCCAGATTTATGTAGTGCTGGAAATGATTGTGACGTGCTAGGAAGAGCCCGAACGGTGAGCACTGTAGAAATTCCTATAGTAGAGGGCACAGTGTCTTCCTCCACCGTGAGCGTTGTAGTACATGAGGGCGAGAGGAATTAACTTTGCCCTAGACACCAGCAACTAGTGCTTGTGGAACGTATCTAGCCAAGTAAAGGGTGAACTGTACTGATAAAAAGTAAAAGCAAGAATTAAGATCTCAACCAAAGACATCGCAACCTTGGGCCCAAAGTCCGCGGCACTACCAACTGAGCCACCGACCCACCAAGCCATAAGATTTAATATTAAACCAAGCTTAAAATTTGACAATATGATGAGAAGTCTACTACGAATATCCTAGATACATAATAGTTATGAAAGAGTGCAACAAACTCACCAATATTGTCTTGCTCCTGACTTGTAGAGTTGTATCTGTTGATCTCTTCTCTCTCCAACATCTCGAGTATTTCTCTCTCTTTCTTGACAATCTCTTCCTCTTCAGATGTAGTGCTTAGGTTTGCATACGTCTACAACAGTTGCATAAGAAACTCTAGAACCATTAATTGAAAAAAACAAAACAAAAGCTAGTGGCTACAAATGTCAAGAATCATTTGTATAATTTACTTGTACTCATACAGTACAACAACAGTACGGGTAGTTAACAAACAATTTGTTCACTGTAGAGACTACAACGGTTAGGCTACACTTCATATTACTATGAAACATTAGCGCTTATGAATCAGCTTGATTACACAAAGACATCAGAGTCAACACGGTTATCTATTGTTATACTAATGTTAACAGTCAAACTGACCCTGCTTCTAATAAATAAACTGTGGTTAATTGAAGAGTTTTATTCTAATTTAAATTTGACATAAACACTTTACGGCAACAAAAAAGAGAATTCATAAGACAGAAATATCACCATTGTCAGACTATGGCATTATCTATCACTGATACACTAAAATGAATAATAGCTTATTCCCATTAGCCGGTATCAGAATGAAATGTAAATCCTTAAATTGAGCTGCCAACTCTTAATATGCATATGTCAACCACCAAAACTCCTTTTAACCATGCCGAAAAAAAAAAAAAAAAACTTCTTGTAAACATTAGAATTTGTTTTTATCTCACATTACTAATAGCATAAAAAACTATGAGAAAAGAGAAAACGGAATTTATACAGTAGCCTATATCTTCTCTTTGAATAAAAAAAAACTAGTTAGTAAAGACCACTTCAGTCTCTGTACGATTGTGATTACCTCACTGTTGTCCCTGCTGTGATGCATTGTGGTCCAGGTGAGGTCGTCATTGTGTTTCTCCAACTCCACACCAGAGTCTCTGCTCTCACTCTCGCTGCAGATGCTCTGCCGATACAACAGCTGCTGCTCCAGCCGCTTCTCCTCAGCCAGGAAACTGCTGATGTCCGGCGGACGACGGACCAGTTCCAACTCTGCGTTAAACCAGGGATTGAGTAAACGTCTTGGTATTCAGTTATGTTATGACTCGACGAAATCTATTATGTACATGATAGCTCAGTAGCTGGTTGTTTATTGTGCTCAATTAGTTATCAGAAGGCCACCGGTTTGATCCTGAGGAAAGTCAATAGCTTTTTGATGGTTTGAACCTGTGCCCAGCTGGCCTCGAGGATGGGGCTTTTAATAAATTACCCTGATTAACGACACAACTGATACTAGTTACAAACAAAGCTATACAGATCATCTCACTCTATTCATATTAAGCTTAAATTACGCACCCAAGTGTGTTACTGTCTCACATTGATAATTGATAATTATTGTTGTATTTTGTGACAAATAATCTGACTCGTTCACTATACTTCCTACTTCAACATATAGAAATGTTCCTTGTAAACTCATTGGACTTGATTAATAGTGTACTTGTTATTCAATATAACTTGTATTTCCTGTTGCTAGAATCTTAATGATCAATAATCAATTTTATGATATGTATGTTCAAATAAAAAACTTGTGTTAGTGGTCAAAACCACTCTCTTACCTGGTTCAAGGTAATTGTCATCATTAGAGCCTTCAATTCCCAGGAAGGAAGATCGTTTCTGGCGAATCTCCTTCTTTATTCGCTTCGTCGAATCCAACCTCCTCAACAATACCTGTCATACAACATTTGAGTTATACCACTGCCTTAATATTAAAATTAATTAAAAAATTAGGACTCAGGTAAAGTTCACAGTCAAGACTAAATTCAGCTACAGTTTAGTTCATATTATTGTTTAATAATTAAAAGACTCATCAAACATTTCACCGAAGATTACCTTTCCGTTTTAAGTTTATAAAAAGTAGTTCAAAGCTCGCTTGTCACTGAATAATAAGTGAAGATGTAAATCAGTGTTTAGAATGACAGGAAGCAGGATTTATGCACAAATTAAGTGAAAAAGCTACACCTGCAGCCTTTGTGCCTAACATTGAACTATAAGATAATCTATCCCAACAGTTTCAAAATGTATTGAGTGAAAACTGGCTTTTATCACTTCAACAAATTTGTATTTCAAAGCATATGTATTAATTGTTTCTTGACAAAATAGAATCCACTACAAAAACTAACACTCACTTCACACTTTGGCCACTCAATACACATAATTAATATTACAAAAATAAAGTACAGTTTAGTATTTTGCCTTAACAGAAAATATACCTCTTTGACACACCTTACACAGGTAAGGATCACATGTGTACACTTACGGGTTTGTCAATATTTGTAGTGTTTTGATCGTCATCATCACTAGTTTCCATGGGAGGAGGTGGGGGCTTTTCTTTTGGAGGTTCCAACGTCGAGGGACTGAGAGGGAACACCACCTCAATGTCTTCGATCAGCTGGAAAATAAACACTTTTAGTTCATGCCTTCATTTTATCTGTATTAAAAATTCAATTTGAAAGTTTAAATACATTTATATTGTAACAAGTAACAAACTTGTGTCCCACCTTGGAGTCAGTTTGTGAGAAGACGGCCATGCTGTCTGTGGCCATGAGAGTCTGTTTGTCTCCGATGTCCACAGAGAGGGCAGTCAAGTGGTGGCCCCCCTCCGACACTATCCCCTCAAACTTCTGTCAAACAACACCACAACTGGTCAAAAATTTGAGTGCATAAAGTGTCAAACACGTGAGAACAGATTTTATAACTTTAAGTAGTATTTAAACTTAAAAAATAATAAAATATAGTGAAATTAGAACGATAAATGATTTTTTGAGAATGTCATTTGATACGAATCACATTCCCAAAATAAAAACCCATACGAAAATGAATATTTACGTTGTAGTTATAAGTTGAAAAAGTTTCATTGGGTTCACTTCAACTTGTTTATTAACTGCTAGTTATCACAGTGGACAGCATTTGGAAATTAATTAATCGAATCATAAACGTCGTATGACTGGGTGCAGTCAAAGAGATTTAATAATAAATTGCACAGTAAAAAAAAAAAAATTAAAATAAAAAAGTTCAAGCTGCAAAAAAAAAAATATATATATATATATTGATAAACCAATTATTTCCTTTTATATAATTTTTTTTTAAACCTACTTTGACATTGACACACACGTGAAATATAATCTACTTTCTCAAAAACAAAAAAATCCCTTTTTTAAAATTTTGATGTTATCTTTGGATTTCAAACATACAATTAAGTTTGAATAATTGTTAGTTGTAAAACAAACCAAACTGGTATTAATTACGTTGGCAAAGTTGTTTTCTTCATGGTATATGTTAAGCAGCTGTCAATTGTTGATTTAAGACCAACTTCAACAGTTAAACATGATTGTTTGGTGGTTTAAACGATAAAACATTGTGATAAAACTAGCCTGCCTAAACCATATATCACTGAAGAGGTGCGTTTTGCATCCTTACGATGTGCCCTTAGCCGCAGAAAATTTAAAATACAAAATTATTGGTTGTAATTTTTTACAGATATACAATTAATTTTTAAACATAAATATAGCATTGAAGAGTATGTACATAATGAATGAAAGAGAAATTTACTATAGGTTTTCTAAGTTATTGTTCCACAGTCCACCTTTTAATCATTAACACTCCATCAACTATTTTATCGGAAATAATTTTAATTGCGAAATTATGTTAACAATAAACATTCTAGCCTAAAAAATGTTTTTTGAAATAAAATTATTTCCCTAAAAATTTCAATTAATCATTATATACAAAGTTATTGTTCATTTAAATTATCATTCTGAATATATATTTTTTATGTTGAGTGTTTGTGAACTAAGACAATCAAGGTAATCCTGAAAATTTGATGTTTACTGTTACTTGAGGAACTGTGCTGAAATACTTTTTTAAACCTTAGGCAGGTAAGTTAATCCACAATATTCAACTAAATATTTTTGTAAATACCGTAAAACCAAATATTCTTGTTACCTTCACAAAAAAGCAAATTTAATACTGAGTGTCAGTTATGTCAGTATTGGGACTGTTAAACTAATTGCATTTGTTAATTTTCTGGTGGGTGTTAAAGGCTTTTGAAACATAGAGCATAGTTTTGTTAAGCTCAGAAAAATATAGTTAGCTACAAACAAAATCTACCAAATAAAAACAATTTTGTGAGTTATAGGTGTATTATTGGAAAATTCAAAAGTTACAGCAGATTTCAAAATACTCACAAATAATAGGTATAATGATACAAACACTTTATTCTCGAAAGGAATTTTTAAGCTCCAGAGGAGACTTTAAATTCATAATCTTCACTTTAACAACAAGATAGGTCTTCTGACTTGGTCCCTGTCAAATAAAATACATGTTCAAATCCAGGGGGAACTTAAAAAAATTAGCAGCTAATAGAAAGGTGGGAAGAGAGTTACTTTTAATATCCAGTAAAAAGCAAAACTAAAACTTTTAAAAATTCTGTGCTTTACAGATAAATATATATAGTTTACAAAAGAGTTACTACTCATTGTGGTAATTCATAGGTTTATCTTTTAAACTACATTTTGTAAACTATATATATTTATCTGCAAAGCACTGCATTTTGAAATTTTTACGTTAATTTCAACTATATATTCAGAGGGGATGGGAATGGAAAACCACTTTTCAAAAAGATAAATATGGTAAAATAAATTTTACACTCGACAATTTTAACTACAAATTATTTCTATTTAAGTAGATAATTCATAGACTTTCCATTAATCATTAGTATACTTTTGAAAAATTAAGATGCTGAGTAAAATACTGTCCATGGTGTGTCTGCTACATAACAACAAATATCTAAGTGGAAGAATATCATTGAAACATCTTTTATGTCAATCTTTGATTTATAAATATAAGGGTCCAAAGGGTGTATATGATTTTCTTGCACACAATGTTCAAAATACTACACGGTCACACTAAAATATGTCAACAATTTTAATAGGGATTCAGATAAAAATGCAACGAATGAATAACATCAATAATTGAAAATCCCACTGGTACAATTATGAAAGACTATAAGCAAAAGGATATTGACAACAAATAACTTTTTAACAAGTTTGGTAAATGAAGAATAAATTATATATTGCAAGAACAACTAAAGCATTAACAGATTCATTAGACCTTGAATGCATGCAATAGATAATTTTAAACTAGGAGACAAAAACTCACCTTTGCAGGTTCACGGACAATTTCTGATTCAACAGACACAAATGGTTTGGTCTGCGGAGTAGTTGTTCCATCGAGCTCCACTTTGTGAGAGATCTCAATGTCGCCAGTTTGGCTATCATGCACAACCTCCGCAGCAGAAAGATTGAGAGGAATAGAGTTCGCAGATTTATTTACAGATACACAGTTAGCAGTTGAAGTCACACCTTCACCAGCAAGAGTTGTTTTATGTTGTTTTTCAGGCTTACAATTTATATTTACACTTTTTTCAACTGAAATGTTATCACTTTCGACACTATCGGTAACGTTAGGTAGACTAGGAGGGAGATTATGACTAGATAAAGTTTTTAAAGAAGCAGAGGCGTCAGAAGCGAAAAGTTCGGCAAAGCCGACGGGTGGGATTGGTTCAGAGGGACTTTCTAGGATTACCGGGAGCATATCACAGTCAAGCTTGAGAGGAAGTTTCAAGAAACATGAAGAATTCTCCACAACCTCCGATCCGGCCACTACGTCATCCGGGATCTCAACTACTGGGCCACTTACATTCATCTGGCTTATTTGTTTCACGATAAGAGATGATGTCAGCTCAGAGTTTTTGTTGATTTCCTCGAGAATGGTCGGTTGTTGGTGGAACTCCCCGTCAAGGTGCAAGTCACAATCGTCCGCCTGACTCACAGAGCTAGAGACGTCTGCTGTGTGGATGCCGCTGTCTTCTCTGTCAGTGTCACCACTCACAGAGCTCGGAGGATAGTTTCGGCAATAGTCCAAATCTTCCAGGCTTTGAACCCTTTCAAACGACTCGTTTCCTACACCGTCATTAGAGTCTACATCCAGACTATCCAATGATCTGTGCCTGTAGTGCTGTTGCCGCTTTGACTCGTACATTTCGTCTGAAGGACTGCTTGTAGATTTTTCTTCCATATTGTCACTAACTTCGTCTTCTTTTGTGGTACCATTTGTGTAACTATGATTAATATTTTTGCTGTTGTTTTCTTTAACCCTGTTAATTTGATTGTTTTCACTATTGCTAACCAAATCATCTTTTTTAACTGTTTTTGTGATCGGTTCTTCTTTTACTTTGAGTTTTTCTTTTGTCACTTGACTCTGGACTGTCGCAGGTTTTGCTTGGTTCACTGACGATTTCTGAAGTGAGGACAGCCGGTCTTTCACTGATTGTGTGATTGGTGTGCCGTTCACGGCTGAATTTGACTTTGGTGACGTACTGTTTTGTTCTGTGCTGTTTTGTCTTTCAATGCTGGACAGCCTATCTTTCACAGATATCTCTCCAGATATCCTATTAAGTTTCTTGTTGGCTTGTGAATCTTCAGATGCCTTGCTGAAAGATGTTACTCTGTCCCGGATGCTTTTGGTCGAACCAAAATCACCTGACAATCTGGTTTTGGAATTTGACATGTCTTCATCTTGAGTTTTTTCAAACATTTCCTTCCTCTTCGAAATATCCACTTTAGGTAGACTGAGTGGTTTCCTTGAGTTTTCGGAAAGATCATTTGTTGACATTGACTTTTTCTTAATCTGTTCCAGCTCTGTAAGTTTTTCTTCTATTTTACAAGACCCTCTTCTCGGTTTTGCAGGTACGGGGGGTGATGACTTCTTTGCCAGTCCGTTTGACAAGTTGGAGTTATCCTCCGAAGGTGTGAGTGATCGACCTCTAATTCTTGACTCTGTGTAGTTGACGTAGTTCTGTATAGCTCGGTCGTATGTGTATTCTTCATCGTGGTGGCCGTTGACAGAATTTCCGTTCTCCCCGTTAGCAACACTACTGCTGGTACTGGATAGATTGTCCCTGCTGGTACTCGTACTCTGGAAATCAGAGATTCAGAAATTAAATCTGTAATAATGGATCTATTTTATTTTCTAGAGCAAACTCAAGAATGTGGTGAATAATCATATTTATAAATTCATAAAACAGTAAAACTCCTAATCAACACTTTTTTAATAATAGGCTACAAATAATAACCATTATAGCTCTAAATCATTATTTTCAAGAATCTCGCCAATTAAAATTCTTCACAATAAAATCAGTGCAAAACTATATCATTAACCCATCACTGACCTTGCAATCATCAAAAACGTTGTCATCTCCATTTTCCCTGTTTTTCTGTGTAGAAAGACCCAAATCGCTGAGATCGTTATCGTCATCTTTGTAGACTGGAAGACTTGTCTTTCGTCCTTTGGAGGTCCTGACAAAGAGGAAACAAAATAGTATTACATCTACCAAACAGAAAACAAACAAAAATTTAATATTACTCACTAATACCTTTTAATCAAGAATTTGACAGAAATGTTCCAATACCTTTCTTCGAGCATCTCATTGAACGTCTTACTCCTGCGTCGGTTGCGATCATGTTCTTCCAACTCCAACTTCTTCACCTCGACCACTCGCTCGATGATGTGTTCCTGTCGCTTCCTTCGTGAAACTTTCCAGTTATCCAAGTTCTGTAAGTAAAGAAAACAACACTATTACAAACTGTGCACTTAGTTGTGTGAGCGATCTCAACCTAATATGATTTTGTAAAAAAGTGGATTTTATTTTAAAATCAGTGCATGGGTGGTGTGGAAGCATCTGTTTGAGAAGCCTTGACAAAGTGTTGAATTTGATATTATATAAAATCACTGAATAAAGAGGTAGGAAAAATGAAGTCAATGATTGCTATATGCAAAGATGAATATATTGTTTACATTAACACGTTCGCTGCGGGTGGGTCAGTACTGACCCACGGCGATCGAATCGCTCATGCTGCCGGGTCAGTACTAACCCACACTGCAGTGAATCAATATGTTGCTCAGTGCTAGCCTAGCACTGCGTCAATCGAAGGTGGACCTACACCACGTTAGCGTGTAGTGTGTGACTTGCTTTGTTCACCGTTGAGTTGGTTCCCGCGTCTCGCTCCCGCCGTGGCGGCTGGGTTGGTACTGACCCACATTACTGTGAACGCTCCTCGCTTTGCTACTTTTTTGTGCTTTATGACGTCATATTCAATTTCAATTTACTTTTAAATTATTTTATTTCAATAATATTAACATTTCAAATTTTTTATATCTCTCATTTTTGTTTAATATTTAAATTTTTTATACTCCGGTTCTTGATGGGTCAGCACTGACCCATGTATATGACGTCACATTATTAAGTCATAATCAATTCCAATCAATTGATATACTTTTTTATGTTGGTTATTTTATCATAATGACTACATATATCTTTAGAACATATATTTTTAGTGACATATATAATGTATTCAGTGACATTTCCATTTTTTCTGACTCTGGCTCCTGATGGGTCAGTACTGACCCATTATTATGACGTCACTTTTTGACGTCATATTCACTTCCGATCGTATTATATAATATTGTATTTCAATAGGGACACAAAAAGGAATGTTATACAACAATAAAGTTTTTTAGCAATACGATTCGATTTTATAATTTCCTTTAGCAGTGAACGTGTTAAATTATTGTATTGCCTGATACAGTTTTAACATTATATGAGGCACTGTTTTATTCAATGATTTATGTTGGTCCTCTTTAAAAATGCAGTAAATAGAACACTAACTGAGCAGTTGAAATTGTCTATATAAAGAATGACAACTATATATTTTGACAAAAAATGTTTGGGATATTCATTGTTACAATCAAATAAGATCAACTCATAGCTGAACCAATTGCTTTCTTATCCTTGAGAAATATACTAATAGGAAAAATATTGTTCTTCAAAAAATAAAGAATAACCTTCAATCTATATAATTAATACGCTACACGAAAGTTTGTCGGTTGAACTCCTCCGCCATTTCTTAACCGATTTTATCCATTGACGTCTCATTGGAAAGAGTGTGTCGCGTAGATTTGCAAACTGGCCTTACATTTTTGAAAAGTCCCTTGGGCTCTGCCCCAGTGGCTTTGAAAGTTCCCATGTTATCCATATGAAGAACATAATTGTTTACATTTTGATCAGCTGTATAATTTTATTGCTGTTATTTACTTTTTAATTCAATGAAACACATTGAGTACATTTATTTACTATTTGAGTTTGTGTAAACATAACCCCCAAGACGGTTCGTGTTAGTATGGTTGTATCTTAAATTTGTCTATTTATCGTTGTTTTGTGTCGCTATGATGGATTGTGTTAGCATGATTGTAACTTAAATTTGTGCATTTATCGTTGTTTTGTGTAGCTATAATTTGTTTATTATTTGTTGTTTATTCCTTTTAAATGTCTCTGACGCAACGACAACAAAACCTAGACAGGAAGCGCAATCGTGATAACGACCGCAGCTACAGAACAGTGGCGCGTAAAGGCTTAACTAATCACAGGCTGAACCTGAACCTGGACACTAGGTTACAAATGCGCCCTAACACTACACCAAAACGACTTTTCGTTCTCAATTGGCCCTCTATTATGGCCTGTGTTGCCTGGACAGCGAGGCATTTTGAGAAGGAGAGAACCGTCCGGAATGCTTTAGGTTTATCAATAACGAAGATAAACAGGGTCTGAGTTACACAACGGTAATATTTGAGTTGATCTTTTAAACTCATTGTAAATATGACTGTTATTCAATCTTAAATAACTCCTGTAATACTTTGTTATTGCTCGAATTCGAGCAACATGTACACTAGTTTGTATTATTAGATGATGGGTTCACTATAAGAATACAGTTAGTTCACTATATCAAAAAAGTTAAATCACACAAATATATACCACAGTAAGTTTTTTAACTGTCTGCTTTGGCATTCAACAACAACAAAAATTTAGTTTTTGCTCAAGGAGGGTCGTGGCTCCTACTAATGGCGTCCAAACTTAAGAGGTTGTTTCAACATGCACAACTTTCATTTGACTTCAGTTAATGATTCACATAAGGATTCCACACATCTATAGCAAAAGACAATCACAGTTTTCATTTGAGATATTAAGAAGTTTGACAAACCGATTGCCAGTCCTCGGCTTCATCCCTGCGCTCAGGTTTGACCTTCTTGACCTCCTCGGCCTTCTTCAGCTGTTCCTGGGCGTAGCGGGAGAGGTCGCAGGGCCCCACCTTCACAAACTGCAGCGGATTGGCGGCTGGCTTGGAAGCCACTACTTTGGTCGTTCTGGTAGGGATGATCGCAATGTTCTCTTGCGATGTCTGTAAACATGATATTCAGTGTTAGGCTACACAAAGTCAAACTTAGTTAACACAAGATAAAAAAAAATAATGAATGTGGAAAAATTTACAAGTTGAAAAAAGTCCTTGATATTTTGAAAGGCACCCAGCTTTAGTGAAATATTTGCTGTGGGATAATATTGTGATAATGAACTGTCACAACTAATTCGTTGTTAGGCCCTATAATTGGTGAAGGGTCGACTTTCTTTCAGTTTGACTTTTTTGTTTTGAAGCTGCAAGTAGTCAGTGGTAAAATTTACAACATATCTGCAAGGGGACTATATTTTTCAGGCATATCAATTGTAAAATATAATTTTTCAAATAAATGCCCTTGAATTAACCATTATTGAAAATTTCCTGTGTAAACAGAACTAGGTTGGGTTGATTACAATATTTTAGGTAAAGTGCTCTAAGGTATCCTCTCAATTAGCATCGGGCAAATTTCAATAGCAGAGCAGCGAACCTGTACATCAAGACCTAATAGAGACACTCAATAGATCAAGAAATTACATCGACTGCTGTTTTCAGTTATTTGTTTCCCTGCCTCATGATTATTTAGACTTGCCTATTCTTAGTATATAGAATAATGTAGTGATCTATGTAAAACGTCTGTGAATACAAAAACAAAATTATCTTTGTGCTGAACTTATGTTATTTTTCAACTTCAGTACCTGCAAGGCAAACTCGACTTTTGCAGAGAACTTGATCAAATTACGCCACCCATCATTGTTTGGGCTGTTCAGAGTTCCAAACCATTTACTGGAGAAACATTTTTATACAAACAAATTTATAGGCCTACCCGCCTACAACACATCTGGTTATGAAACATACCATACTAATGTCACTATCCAACATTAGGAAGAAACTGCATGACGTTGTGTACACAGTATGGGTATTATAGGTAGCGTAGTGTGTGAGAGTATGGAGTGAACCGCGACGCAGTAGGTCATGAGTCGGGGCAGGGCGAGGGCGGTGTTTCCGGGGCCACAGGAACCACGGTCGACGGCGCCGTGGGCTTGCAAATACCAGGACTGTGGGACCAGCAAGCAACAGCTTACGTGTAGACCTACCAGACCACGCTGTGGCTGTGCGCTGGTTGTTGACAAATACCTTCTACACCACCACAAATGGACTTCAACACTAGCTACGGGTGTTGAAAAAGTCCTTGAGAATTTATTCCGAAAGGCACCCAGTTCAGGACAAATTTGTTTGGGCAGTAGTACCGTGATTACTTAACTATCACATCTAATTTGAATTATGTTCACAAAAACGGAGTCACCTTCTAAAGGATTGCAACTTCTTGAAGAAATAATCAAAACTAGTAAACGTAAATGATCATGTAACTTATAACGTAAGATCAATACTGTGGCAATGCCCCTGGAAGACACGAGATTTAGCTTCCTCCTAGATAAGATGGGATTGAATCATCAGGTAATAACATTATCTCGTAGAAAATATTCAGTTCAACCCCAAGTCCTAGACCTTTAAACACTACTAGGATACTGTACTACCGTTCATTGTATTATAATAAAATTGTACTGACGTGACGGGAGGGCGAGGCCAGTCCATGGTCGGAGCCGGTGTCCGAGGAGGCGCTGCTGTGGCGTCGCTGTGACATGGCGGTGGCGGGCTGTACCGCCGGCATTTCATCTCATCACGTCTACCTGTACAAACACACAACCATAAAGTAAACAACAACAACCAAAAATAAACATAAATTACCTCACTGGCCGACTTTCATGGTATTATCAACTAAATAACTCACGTGATTAATACTGTAGAGTGCCTAGTGAAATATCGTTAACAAGTCCTGTAAGAAAATTGTGTAAGATTGGTTGTCTTTGAATACTCGTAGTCTTCTAGATTAAACCGTTTTGTCTAGCTGTATTTGAACGGTCACGTTTTGAAGATGGAGTTATCCAAAATCAGGGCGTAGATCGTAGATCCAGTAGATCACAAACTACATCTTAACTTTGAAATAGTTTATGTCATGTCTTCGTTACTGGAGCTGCGCCTGGAGAACAGCAACGTCTCCAAAACGTCAAAATTCAAACACATCTCGACAACAAGGTCCAGCCCAGATACATTTCCTGTAAACGGCCATGGAAGTGTTCACATCTATTTATTTTGTTTCACTTTCCCGCATAAAACATAGATATTGCCCTCAATGATGTACAGTGTCTACAAACAGTTGCAAGGGTGGTGTCATCAATAACCATTAGTTTATTTATTGACTCCATTACCTGTGCTCATCATATCCCCCACCTAACCAGCGCGGGCCGAGGCGTGTGCCAGTATTGTGTGTGTGTGGGTGATATCGCCATCAGCGGGGTCAGTCCGTACCGTTACGAGGTGCTAAACCCCCTCCACCGTAGCTGACCCCGGGTCACGTGACCAAGGTCAAGGACGTTTCTTGTCCTCCCGCGTAACCACAAGTCCTACGAGATCCAAGTTGGATAACACTGTTTTGGCGAGAGATAAAATACCCGCTTTACCGCCGGGCCGGGTAACAAATCCCCGCTATCTGGGGAAACTGGGAAGGAAACGAAACAGATACGGATAACCTTCAAACGAGCTTGCAATTTAACACAGCACTCGGCTGTTACTTAATAATACCATAAGGAAAACAAAGTGTATTTATTTTCAGTCATTGTCCATCTAAACCGAAAGCTAGACACATTCTTCAAGGCAATACACATTGCAGTAAGAACAGTGTTCTTATTTTTCATCGGGCCCGGTCTATTCAAATCGACAGCTATAGACACATTCTTCAAGGCAATACACATTGCAGTAAGAAGAGTGTTCTTATTTTTCATCGGGCCCGGTCTATTCAAATCGAAAGCTAGACACATCGATGTGCAATACACATTTCAGTATGAACATTAACAATTTTTACCGTAACCTTTTCCCTGCATAGTCTAGTATAATATAGACTGATGGAACTCAATTGAGCATAAAAATTATTTAACTACAGAAATAATTGTAACGCAATTAAACCAATATAAAAGAATAGGTTGTATGATTTGAATAGAATAATTCATAATTCATGCATAGCCTTACGTAAAACCGTTTAAATGTATTAAGTTAATTGCATTTGTATTGCCTATTATGTTTGCGTGTCGGCATTTAAGTTATACAGCTAGCGGACAATGCAAGGTTTCTTGTACAAGATTACTTAAGGAACAAACAATATTGTCCTACAATATGTCTACTGCCCCGTCACTCTTCATACCAAAACATTCGTCCAATAACATACTATCCAAAGTGTTACCCAATAGTTTGACGTAAAATATAGCTTTCCATGGCCAAAACTCATTTGCTAACAAATGTTCCACACCATAGATGATTGACAACACGTTTGATTAGCAATAGTTTGAAAATATTGACCTGAATAACAGAGATTAAAGCATTGATTATAAATATGAAAGTGGCTCTAGACATAATAAATAGTTTCTCAATCCTATTCACCGTACAAGTCACCATGAGATTTGAAAGATCGGAATGGCTTTATGTTATTAACACTACTGAATTAGCAACTATACATTAATGTGGGTCTATCATAGTACCAGGAGAATTCTTTCAAGGCGGCCTACTGTCAGAGTTGGAAAATATTAAACGCCGATGGGTATACAGTAAATCATTATGCAAGACGAGTGATTTAACTCTGGCGTTTCTAGTTGAAGCGCCCGGTTCCTCCTACAATAGGATGGTAGAAGGGGAAGGGGGAGGAGGGCTGGATGCTGGATGAAGCCAAAGGACCTTGAACGTCCTTGGGCTCCAAACCACACGTGTTCACAAAAACCGAGATAACCAGACCCGCTATTATGAGGGTCCTAGGCTTGTAATTGCCTTGGGCCGACCACCGACCAGCGCCGCATAGCTAGAGCTCCATCTCTGCTACATCGTGCACGTCTACAAACTCTACCATCCTTCATCTTCTTGCTTCATTCTCTACCTACACTCTTCACCATCAAGGATTCCTTGTACCTAATACCAAAGTTGTTTACAAATTAACACTTCGCACCATGCGATCTCGTAGCTGAGCTTCACAGAGATAGTCTTCAAATCAGGCCGCGGGTCGATTCCAAAAAGGTAGTAGCATATGATAGTTCGAATTGGACACAAGTCCATAATCATTGGGGCTTTCAATAAAATATTCTTGGATAAGAATAAACTGGTCTTAGTTGGTAAAGGCCGTACGAATCATTTCAATCCATTGTACACTCAGCCTGCATTCATGTTCCGCATTAAATACACTCCTAAGTGCATCGCTGTCTTAAAAGTAGGTACGAAATTCGGAAACTATCTTTTGAGTAACGTAAACTACAAAACTAATCTTCAGTATCAATAAATTGTTACATGAATGTTTGCGAAACATGCTTATGTAAAATTCTGTACAGTATAACTAGATGAACTCTTCAAAATATTGTATACCACATCACTTACCAAATAAGACAGTAGACCCTACTGAACAGTTTGACATTTTATATTGACTCTTTATCCAATCGGCTTGATAATGGTATCTACACTCTTGACGTTGACAATTAATCAACAAACAGCATTGGGAGTCGCTGATATAAAACGTCGCTTTGACGTAAAAACCCTCAAATGCAAAACACCACAAATACACACTGCAAGTAACGAAATATAAACTATAAACACTAAATTGTATCCACTTAGAGTGTAATAGGTCAAATATATTACCTGGCAAAGGATGAGAGAAGCCCAGGGCGGGCGCGAGAGCAACAGAGGCGAGATCGCCTGACCTGCACACAGACAAAACAACAAACAATTAGACGGGAGAAACAAGAACACAACACACAAACCGCTAATTGTTGCTGCAGCGCCGTCAAGTGGCCGCTCATTAAACTATTACACCTGGCAGCGACACGCACGCGAAAACTAGCGTAAAAAACACAGAGAGAGCAGCATCTCCAACAATAACCACTATAGGGACTAGGAGTGGGCAAAACATGTATCGGCAATGGTAGGTGTGAAAGTGGCGGCTTTGTGATATAAGTCTACGGCAAGAGAGTTGCACCGATAACAAACAATGAATAACTGCTTCTAAGGCTGATTGAAGTGCTAGTGATGGCTTTATAAGCTATTTAAACGCAAGGGGAAAATCAATCACATCCAACCTGAAGGCATGAGCGTTACACCGATAGCAAATACAGTAACTACTTCTGTAGACGGACTTGTGGGTGAAAATGAAACCACAATGGTATGCTAAAGTGTTGGCTACATTACAAGATCCTCTAAAGCAAGGAAAACAATTAACCAAAGCTAAGACTCCCGAGGCTACTTCCTCTACCAGGTGAGGTTATGTTTCTATAGTACCGATCCCCATTATTTCTTCACTGAATTGTCGTGAAGACTTCATTTCCCACATTGTGAAGACTAACAGTTCAGTAATTAACAGAATAAACAATGTTCAACTGGAAGATGTTTTTAAAAATGCTATCAACTACGTTAAAGACTTTTCAGGGATTGATTCCGTGGTCTTTGATTACGTACCGAGTATGCTAACATTTCGAGATCCTTTCATCTTCAGAGGCAAATTAACACAACCTTCATCAAAACGCTACAACGTTAATTGGCAAACTAAAATTATCCTAAATTACAAAATCATACCCATATCACTGTCGGTATTATGTTCATCCGATACTATCGGAATCCGTGGAAAGTTTTAAATGGAGAGATCTAAGAGAGTATTAAAAGAACTCGGAATCGAAAATAAACATCCGCCTCTTTCAACGGACGAGCGGTGAGACGCCTCTGATGTCTAAACTCTGCTGAAACTATTCACAAGTGCAGCTGCCTTTCTCCACGTGGGAAATGACCTTATCTTCTTCATTGAGTCATTAAAAAACGTTGGCTGCAAGTGGCAGAGCAGCTGAATTGATGCTTTGAGATTGTCGTAGCACGCTGGAAGATATACAATTGCAGACGAAAACACCATGCCATAGTCTTAGACGAATTTACAAATAGAAATGGCCATGTTATAGTAGGATGTCTGGGTTGGATGCTATTCGTGACAGCTTTCATACTTAGAAATAAATCGTATGCTTATTTTGTAGGGTTTTGTCAAATTTGACACAATAAGCTGTGCTGTATTTCAATTCATCAAAAGGCTCACTCCCTACCAAGGTTTTTACTTTCCTCCCTCACTGAAGTCCAAGACACTATCATTTTAGGCTGGCAGTATATCCTATAATAAAAACAAGACTACTTACTTTGGGCTTTTTCAACCAAAATTCTCCGCTAATTGGCCTCGTAAATAACGTAAACCACAATAAATTAACGACGACCATCACACATTGCAATGAATCCTATAAACTACTCAAAACTATGCTAAAAATCCCCAAAAGATGCATCTTGAACTGTATGCTAACATGAACAAGGAAAAACAGTACTTAATTTTCGGCAGGAATGATTTGGTTGGTCCAATTAATTGTTAACTGATACGTTCTGTTGTAGCATTGTTCTAGTTTTCTAGTTGTCTAGTTGGTGGTTGGGAAGCCAGATCGGGGCAGTGGGTTAGTGCGGTATAACGGTGGTGTCCAAACGTTGAGTGTCCATCGTCAGATTACGTACTATACCACATCACCTGGCTGGTGACTGGCTCAACGCCCAACACGCTGGATTAGTGTTAAGTGTTTGTGAGTTCCCGGACTAAAATATCTTATCGATCGACTTCCACACTGTTTTCGTCCCATATTTGGTTTGGATGGTTAACAAACCAGTCATACTGATGGCTATATTTGTTTATTGGGGACTCGTTTCCCGTAGAGAAAAACGCGTGATTGCTTTATGACGCAAAAGCTAAACATAATCAATGTTTCACAGACTAAGTACTGTGTAGGAAGCTTTTTTTCTACTCGAGTCTAGTATATCTATTGTTACAATTAATTGTCAAGTGCTATCAGTAAGAGAATTTTTGATAAAAGCTAAACAATCCCACTCAAGTTAGTTATTTCTTTTCCTTTACATGTTATCATAGTTTCAGACAAAGAAGAAAAAGCCTTTGGGACTATTGGCGACAGAAACCAGTGAGAAAGTACTTTCAGCCTTGGTACTGAAAACGCCACATAGAGATGGTCCTCATCCAATAAATCACGATGTCATATAGAGCCAATTTAGGTTAAACTATCCAACGTGAAAGCCAAGAGATATTCCAAGAAAGTTAAAAAATAAAACATTGTGACGACTAGAAATTATAATAAAACCCTTCAATTTGAACTTGCTGATATTTGAAGTGAAATGTCAAAAAATTTTCCTTCTTCCAAATTGGAATGCAAACTGCCATTGCAATTTTCAAGAAGCGAGGAAAACATTTTGGGACATATGAGCTGAACCCTACATAAGATGACTAACAGGATGGCAAACTTTGGTTTATTATGACATGTAATTTTAATAAACAGAACTCAACATCTGGACGAGTATTACCCCTAAAGTTCCCAACATGACGGGCATCATTAACCCCGAGCGGCTGTGAAATATACGAGATGTGAGATGTTGGCGAGTACGGTCCACGTCACTAAAGCCCACTAATCGTCCAACAGCGGGCTTGGTTTATGATGGTAATCCGTCAAGAAAAGAACGTGTGAACCGGCGTCTGGGTCGTGACCGAGGCTTCGACTGACTTATGGATGCTGCGACCGGCAAACCCCCTTCAGCTGGCATCCGGCTATCGGGGGTGTTTAGAGGGTGTTGGAGGGGTGTTTTCAACGGAAGTATATGAAGAGACTTGGGAAGTATATTATTCAAAGTATAGTACTCAAAAAGACAAATCTTGTCTTTTCGTAAAAATTGTCATACGCATTCCTGAATTGAATATCACAGGATGAGATCTAATCCCAAATTTCTAACAAGCACGACTTAACGCCTCGAGGCGCTTGATCACGATACATCGAAAACAAACTTCAATCCCAGTCGTGTATCTCTAATCTAGAAAGGCTCTCCAGCCCAGCCCTCCTGATTATCTGGACCCTATGCGTGCTACCACATTAGACCCAAAGAACAATCGTGGCCTAAGTGGATAAGCCCACATGAACAATTACAAATTATAATGAACCCGAGCCAAGTGAAGTGGGGAGTGTGAGTGTGGGAACGTGAATGTGAACGTTGATTCACCTTCGAGGCTGAGATATCTCGGCACAGGTGGCTGAATCTGGCAACAGCAACGCCTTTTGGCATTTACACGCCTTACACCTGACTCATTGCCTTTGTTGCGACAATAGCGGTTCCCTTCTGCTTGCAAGGCCATTGCAGGACCTGAGATAGCCAACTGAAGGTGTTGAGTCATTAAATTGCGCGGGTACTATCAAAGGTGCAATTTAAAATAGGCAAAAATTTGTCAATCAACATGGAAAACTTTACATTTACAAAATCTATTGACGTTGTTTGATAAATATTTTGGGAGTTCACTAAAAAGATTTACTGTGGAGTTTGATCTGTAGTCTTTAACACTATAACTAGGCCTATTGAGTGTATTTACAAATGATCAAAACCTGCAAACTTCAAGGTAAATGCTGACGATGTAAAACGACATAGTCATTCTGGATGGTGATCCAGAAAGGTGTGTTTTTTTTCTTCACAAGTATCAAAAAACCCTTGTTGATACATTTATCCAGTCATCTTTCATTTAGCAAAGATGAACTTACTGGAATAGCTATTTACTTAGATTCACTGTAGCGACGAACTACAGTCTTAAGACTATTTAAGACACTTTTTCCTTATTCCATCCATTAAACTCGTGCATGCACTACTGTAATCTCCACTAAGCTGAGTGCATGTCGGAAATCGACAAGAGCTTCCGTCCGTGTCCATCCCGCATCTACCTGACAAGCCACCAGAACTCGCTGAAAAATGCACCAACTACCAAACCAGATGTCCTCGACCCGAAACGAGAGGTTAAATGCGATTCATCGAGGTCAACTGCAGTATAATGTCCACTTCATTGACTATAAATCCACCACTGAACAAGCCACCCACAACTGGCATTCGTCGATAAATCTTTTTGCCCGGTTGAATAACGACCGACAGTCTCATTGAGTCCCTTCTATTGGTGAGATTGGCAGCACTATTTACTATCGTAGATTGTGGTATTAGTGAAATGGGAAAAATATAAGTTGAACAGTGCATATTAATATAGTGATGGTAATGCAAAGAGAACAGTATGAATGGCAGTTACAAGGCAAACTTTCTTTCCAAACTTTGGTTACACATAAAGGTTTTTAAGATCGATATTTGTGATAGCCAAACTGAGAAGAGCTTATGATCACGTGAGATAAAGTATGTTTCCCAGGAAGTCTTTAAATGCAAACATTTGTCTTTAAAGTTAGTTTGTTAGTTCGTTACGTTGCAAATTTCAATATCGGTCTTTTAAAATCCCATGGGCATATACGCATGCACTCTTGACTTTTGGATACTGAGGTCCTGTACATAGCCTAAACATGCGATAGCCCCTTCACTTCGAGAACGTATGCAAGAACCACATGAAATTTCATAAGTTTTTCAAGCTAACCCAATAAATAAATTGTACAAACAGTACAAATGCTATGCAATACTTCACGCTCTGGTAGTGCCACTGCAACTCCAACCTGCACAAGCGTCAACCACAACAATGCCGACACGTAACCATCGTGAAGTATCAAAAAGCAATCTGGCGACCAGTATTAAGTAATTAATACTCGGACACGGCGTGACATTTGGCGTCGGTTCAAGGTCTCCGGTGCACCAAGGTCCGTGTCGGCATTACGGC